TGCTCATATGTTGAATGCTAGTAAACTATATTTCAGTATTGTTTACACATTGTTTATCAGCCCGATGATCCAGCCTACGATCATTGCAAAGTTAATTAAAATAACAATTACCTTCGTTGGGGTTCAGAGCTACGTTCAAAATGGGTGGTTTTACGCGCAGATGCAAAGTTCACGGCTGTACTGTAGCGCTAACCATTACCAGGATCTGAATACGCTAACGGTTAGCAAGTGCTATCAGTTAGCAAGTTGAGTGCATTTTTATCACTAACCAGTCCCACATGCACATTTCCGATTTCCAGTTTCCTATTGGCCAGATATCCCACATTCATCTTTCTTGATCTGGATCTGGGATTTTCTTGTATGAACGCATGGGTGAGCGCGTATGTTTATCTGGATTCTGCTAATCGTTAGCTGCCGTGTATGAACATAAATAAATAAGAATGATTTTTATAAATGCTTTGACGATATCAAATATCCTGGAATTCTCTTTACCTACCTACAGTCAGTGTTTACAAATTACTACTCACGGTTGTGTGACACAAAATGACATTAACAGGTCATGTATTATGTAATTCTAGTTATTTCACTTCATTATCATACTGTACAATAGGGGTTTGTCAAATATGAATGTCCTTGAAATATACAATGAAAAAAATTGTATTAAATAAAGGGACTTGTTTAGTTGGATCTAGGCCTACTATAGTAATTCCACTTCATGTGAGGCTTAAGGCCTGTTTATACTTCAACGATAATGATAACGATAAAATAGCTAAAAAGCAATTGTTTATATAGAAAACAAATAAAATGAGAAGTTTTTACACTAGGACGATTCGATAACGATTTATCGTGTATACAATAACAAAATATTTTAACAAATCAAATCAGATGACGTCATAATCATGGAAGAACAATAAAATCATTGCTACTACTACGATTTTAATGTTTTTCCATGATTATGACATCATCTGATTTGATTTGTCAAAATATGTTGTTATCGCATAAGCGATAAATCGTTATTGAATCATTCTAGTGTAAAAACTCATTTCTTTTATTTTCTATAGGAACAATTGCTTTTTAGCTTTTTTATCGTTATCGTCATCATTGAATTATGAACAGGCCTTTATGCTATTCATACCATCTATTTAAATTTGAATAGGTCATAACTTATCAATATTAGAAAGAGTATTTTTAGTATAATATTAATTAAAATATTACTTTTAAAAATGATTCAGATAATTCACAAAATGAACCAAAAAAAATTGATATGATACTGACAATTGTCAATTGTGGTGACAATGGCAATATGGTATGTGGCTGTAAAGTTAGTGATGATTATGAAACAAGTCATTAGTGACTACTCTAATTAATATGTATATACTGTAAGGTATGATCATATTTGATTATAAGTACAGTAAATCTGGCCACAATCTCAAGTGCATTTTTTACACCATTACATTGTACTTTCCAAGGATTCTCAAAAACATTTCACAAGAATCTCCTGTAGCCAATGTCAACCAACGTTGGTTCAGCTAATCATCATTGTAAACTAGCCATTCTGTGTGTTTATATATTTCTCATTAGATTGATTACCTGCCCATCCAACCAATTCACTTGTATAACTGTGATCAGGGTTTTTACTAACTTGTTTTAATGCAACGTAATTAGCCAATAGTTATTGGGTAGTTGATATAGCTGTTTAAATATTTAAGTCTCAGGGATTTTCTCATAATGCAAGATTCGTAGAATGTAGGGTGTAGAGAAGCCCACAGATCCGGGCAAGTGACGGTGGCAAGTAGGCCTAGAACTTTACAACATCATGAATGAAATAGCAGGATCGACACTGGGATCAAGGGTTTAGCCAGAAAAAAATGAAATAGGCCGTCCAAAATGGAAGCCAGTGGCACTAAGCCCCACCGAATATTGGTACGAAAACAACATATATTCAATCAATAAATGTTGCTTTTATCAAACGTAAATATGATTTAGCTTTAGTTTAATGTAACATTCGATAGATTTGAAGAATATAAAGAATTTGCTAAAGGTAGACCTGGCCCAATTAGGCTAGGCCGAGCTGATGAGGCCAAGTCGTCTCGGTAAAAGTGGCCTTCCTAAATAATCGTAGGTCATCCAAAAGACGGCCGAACGGCTCGCTGGCTAAGCCTATGATTGGGATCATAATTGGGTAACGACACAAATAACATGAGGCCACGTAGCACTAGACACCTTGTGGCAAAAGATGACATTAAGGTACTCTAATTGTTATAAAAGCTTATTCACTGTAGTTTATGCAGTTTTCTTTTCTTTAGTGATAACAATATACAAGTTCAAACAGGTTTAAAATTGATACCCGGGCTACAATTGAACACACATAAGATTATCTCATGAAAAATTTGTATGAACATAGCTAGTGGTAAATAAAACCACAAGTAATCACAGTGGCTGGCCTTGGGTCCCTCCTGTACATTGGCCCCTTGACCCAGACCCATTGTCAGTTTTTTTTTTTTCTTTGGTTGAATCATCTTGCCTACTGTAAACACAGCGGGCACAAAACCTCCTGTTGGTGTTTATGGATGAATCACAAATTAAATAATCTTTCATAAGTTTATAAAGAGCTCTCCATCCCACCATTGCCAGTCATGTGGGGATGAGAGTGGATATTAAAATATAACATATTATTCATTATTAAATTGGTATCTGATTGGCTAATAATGTAGATCATTATTGAATCGCCTTAGGTATTTCTTCTAAAAAATGAATTAAATCCCATGATAAACTGTTTTATAAAAAAAAGCAATTTCTGCATGCCTATCCCATTAACCTAAGGTAATGGAAAATCAATTCGATTCGAGAGACTTGATGAAGAAAGCAGTCAATTTGTAGTTGCTGGTCGTGTCTGCAAATCCAAACTTTAGTAAACGTTTATTGATAAACTGTTGTGGTCAATATTTATATTCTGGTATTATTTTAATCATATTATTCGATGTCCCATTCACAATGATCCAAGAACTGATTGTAAATCTGCACATCAACAACTCAGAGTTGGATATAATTGCTGCGAATCAGCCAATTCATATTCTTGACAGCAATTTGAATTCTGAAAAGTCATTGTTTGTCAAAAAACAAGGGCCTAAGACAACTGAAAAGTGGAGTTTCCTTCTTTCGTTCTGCCGGATAAAATAAATTACTTTGGGCGACGTTTGTAGACTAACCTACACGTACCAACTGCATTTGCAATTTCTAGTAATAATTGATTTATATGCACATTACATAGTACAATAGGTAGAAGTGAATAAGTACCAGTACATTTTTAAATATATTGCTAGGTAAAACATTTAATGGCGTGTGATGTAATTTGGAATAATTGTCTATTTGCATATAGTATATAACTATTGTATGGCTTATAAAATTTGGATAATAATTATAGACAAAGCTTGTTCTTCAGATCGAATGTTGTAAAAGCCTTGATAGGCCTCTTTATGATACCTTTTAACTATTCCTACGGGTAACTACTGTACATGGCAAGGTTCCACCCAGAGGAGTGCCCCTAATCTCCTACCTTAGCACCGGACTAATAATGTTTCATTCACGTTGTTTCACCTCTCCAGTTACATGTGCACACCAAATATGTAGCGCAACCTGTCAGATACCTTTTGCTGCTTCTGGTGGGTGCAGTTCCCACTTAGCCCGCTGGTACAGAAAGGGCCTCTCAAGGACACATGCACCACCACCCCGGCTTGCACCTAGTGGCAAACTGTTACCAACTATTAAGCAGTTCAAAAAATATTAAAAAACACAATTAGCTTTGGTGAACAGTTATTCCTGCAGTAATCATTCTACCATCTGGTTCCTGTTTTTAGTCCACCATCACAGATGTTAAAATTATTTTTGGTTTGTTAAGAGTTTATTCATTGTCATTGGCTGTAGCTAAATTTACACAACTATTAGAGAAGGTCTTAAGAGTTGCAACTTCTATTTGAACAATTTTTTTTTTACACCTGTTTAATCAAAATACCTGTGTTGTTTGGTTTGCATTTGTGTGTTTGTTTCATGTAGCTTATACCGGCAGTAATTTTACCATGTTGCACATAACTTGCTGAACTTCATAGCATGAGACTATCTTATGATCCACTGCCTGTGAAATGTTCAATACAGTATTTATGGTATTACGAATAGTTATATCTGAATTGGCTTGATTGAATATATACATACAGTATGGTATGAATGAGTCATGTTTAGTGTTTAGGTAACATTAACAATCTGAATAACATGAAAGGCTAATACTAAGTTGTCTATTGTTAGTCACTGTTATTTTTTTTATTTTTATGAAAGCAAAAAAAAAAAACCAAAACAAATTTGATGCATTGCCGTGTAAATTGATTTTAGTATTTTACTTAATTTAATTTATGTGCTAGATAGTGGTTTCTTTTTTTTAGTTATTTACTTATATAGTTTATAATTCAATTATAGTTGTGAACATTTCCTCACCAGCCTCAAAACCTTTTAATAGTGGGTTAGTTGAGTTTATGAAAATCGTTTTAGTAAGCGGTATAGAGAGTGATATTACACAATATTATATCTGAGCACTCCAGATATATTATTTGTAGATGCAGTTTAATATTGTTTTTTATTCAGTGATGAAATCTCAGTTATCATTTTTCCTTCTGGAAATGCCTCCATACCCCATTGTCACTTTGGTCCGTGACTAATAGTGATTGAAAGATAGTCTGAAATTTTTAATCTTGAAACTTTACTTTGTACCCCAAAAAATGGTCCTCTGTTATTCATTATATATAATATTAACTAGATTAAAATGATATGTCCATTTTGAGATTTTTTAGTAAATAATTGTATAGTAGGCCTTGAATATAATCACACTTCCTTAAGTTATATTCTTGGGATATAGTTTTATTTAGAATAAAACAGGAAATTTACTTTAGATTATAATGTAGTTCAATGTTTTTTAATTTCTAAAACCATGAAATCTTTTTCTCTTTGTTTAGAAAAATGCAAAAGCAGAGGAACTTTATGAACAAGTGTTGTATTCATTGGATATTGTGGAAAAGGATTATTTTGGACTTAGCTTCACAGATGCAGAACAGTCTGTAAGTACAATACAAGGCCAGTATTTTATGGTAAAATCTTGGAAAACCCTTGCTCACTTATATATCGTATTTTATTGTTCAATTAAAAAGGAGAAATATTTCATATTAATGGTATAGAAAAGAAAACCTTACATAAACAATTTTAACCAACCAATTCGCTCATATATTTATGGTGTATCTAGGGGTGTGCGTGGACATCCCCAAAGCTTTCACCCCTCAGTTGGCCTCCCCCATTGAAAATGTTCAAAGATATTAAAAGGTCTTGCTCAAGTGGTAGTTAGCAATTATCTCGTATCACCTTATTTTGGGAGGTATCATCCCTCACTTCACCTTTGCACCCTTCTCATCAGTCCCCTCTCCACTAGTTCCCCGTCTCCTCCCTCCATAATTTCAAGACTCCACTGCTTATATTCCAACTTCCCCAATCTGTATAACTCTTTACACATAGCTGAAATCCCTAGGCCTGTGTTTTTTAATTTCTATTTTTATTTATCAGATATGTTTTTGCCATGTAGGGCTTGTATGTGTTTCTCTTTTTCTGGATACAAACTTTTTGATAAGGTAGTTAAATAAGAGCAGTTTTAATGGCATTTACATAGCAATAACATGGCAAGACTGAACGACTTGCACAGATGCTGTGTTGACACCAGAGTACAGAGGCATGTATGCATAATGTCCATTGACACTTTGAAAGGTCATACAGGTTACATTTATCTGGGCCTTAGTAAGGTACTACAACTAGTCTGCTTATGAGCAGTTTCATATCAGCTGTTTTTATCATAAAAATTATAATTTTTTTATTAATGACATCAGATGAAGGTGTGCTACTGTATGTACATGACCAGGTTTTTTTTTTTGGTAGGCCTCTTGCACCCTCCCACAGCTAAGCAAAGTCCCTATCATCTTCTGAGAAGTCAACCTTAATTAATGTAAAAGCCATAGACATTTTGAATCAGCTCAAAGCTTGTATTTTATGTAAGATTATAGAGGTCATATTAATGAACACACGATCTAGAAAAATGCTGAAATCAATTATGATACTTGCACTTACCTTATCAAGACTAGCTAGTTTACAGTAGGTTACATAAGGCCAAGTAACAAAAAATATTTGTTTCCCGTCCGGGGTATTTCAAAAAGTTGGTGAGGGAGGCACTTGTTATTTGTTATTTGTTATTTTTGTACCCGTGTCAACAAATACTTAAATACGCGTCCTGTCTTGATAGTAGTGCATACAGTCACACACATAAAGAGTCGTACAGTAAAGCATCCAGAGGACATGACAACAAATATAAAAACACAAGGTACAGTATGAAATTCATTAATTTTTTTTATTGAAAAAAAAATCAATAAAAAAAAAAAAAATCAAAAATACCCTATATATTGTATAGTAACTGTTATTCTGATTTGCTTGTGTTTTCTGTTTTCAGGCATTTTTGGTTTTAGGCAAGATATCACATCACAAGACAAGTATATTATTTAAGTTAATCATTGGATCATAAGATACAATCAGTACCTACAGATTTAGAAAGATTAACGCCAGTATTTAGCCAATAATTGTTTACATTATAATTATTAATAATCTGCTATTTTCATTGTACACTTATTTTTTATATATATTCGATAAAAAAATAATGTATTCTTTATTCTTGTCATTCCTATATTGCAAACATTCACGTCATATTAATAAAAAAACACTATCCATATTTGGTATTCCTATTCTTGTCGCTGTTTTTAAGGTTTCAGTATCTGGGATAGCTATCATGTGCCTCCTTCGAGGTACCAACACTCACTTCAATCTGCAAAAAAATAAAA